AGAAAAGCCACTTTATGATCTGTAACTTTGTTCATAGATAAGATACAGTAATCCAAATAATACTGTTTTGTAGTACTCGTGGAGATCTATCATACCTGATTTAGTTGGTTCGAAAATATAGATTCTGAAAGTAATTATGGCAGGGCCCGCGAAGGCCCGGCAAAGGCCCGGATTACAAGTATGGCTGAAAGTGAAATTTCAAATTTTTCGAATTTTGAAACTTCTGGTTTCTCGGAATTTTTGAAAATTTTTCGATTTTTGGTTTTTTTTCTGAATTTCGCGATTTCGGAATTTTATCGAGTTTCGGAATTTCAGGACTTTTTCGAAATTTTCAGGTTTTGTGCTTATCTAGATCGAATTCCTGAGTTTGACAATTTTGAGATTATTTTGGGATTTCGAAAGATTGAGATTTTGGATTCTCAAAGATTTCTCAAAGTTTTGAATTTTATCGAATTTCGGAATATTTTGATTTTTTCGAATTATGGAAGTTTGGAATTTCCACATTATTCTAGAAATTCGAAATTCTGATGACCTTCCAGAGCCCTAAGAATCTGGGAATTTTGGAGACTTGAGTCTTCTAATTTTTTGAATTTCCGAACTTAAGAAGTCGCTCACCTCATAACCAATTCTAGTGTTATCCACTTGAAACAATTTCCATGTTGTGAAACCGATATGCAGGAAAAAATAAACAAAAAACAGAGGGACTAGAATGGTTCGAAACGCCAATTTCAGACGGGTCATTGCATTTTCTGCTTGGCTGAAAAAAAGTTTTCTCAATGCTTCAATTTGAAAAAATAGCTTCTAACCATAAGTATTGAAAATATAGATTTCATACATTTTTATGAATTTTCAAAGAGTTAGTTTTCAAAAAAATAATGTAAAAAAATAATAAAAGGGTTAATCTTATGTTAGAAAATCAAAGAAACTTTTCGATGGGAAAGAAAATTAAAAAAATAGCAAATCGGGGGAAGAAAGAGAAGGAAAGAGGGAAAAGAAAAACAAACAGTTTTGACATATTTATTAATAATTTTTTGAGAGATAAAGATCGAAAAAAAAGAAAAAAAATTGCATTTTTGAACACTATAAATTTTTTTAAAAACTTTTTTGGGAAGTTGAAGTTTTTTGACCCTTGGAAAAAGGGTTCTGATTCAACATTTTCAGAAAATGACTCATATATAAATCTAAAGATTGCTTATCGCAAATAAGTTTTGAACAAAAATTCAAAATTTAGAGATTTCAAAAATTAAAAAAATTCCTTTAAAAATTAAAAAATATAGGAAATTCCGAAATTTCGAATTTTTAAATCGGAATTTTCAACATTCCGAACATTCCTAAAAGTTCCGAAAAACTTAAACAACTAGAAATGAAAAATCAGAAACTCAAGTATTAAAATTGGTAAAAATTAGAAAATCCATTTTTAAAACAACGCAATTAATAAAATTAATCGTCTCTTATAACCTCTCTTTTTTTCTCTCGAATGTCTCCAAAAATGACCATATACAGAAGAAAAAAGGGAGTTTTCTCTCTCGTATTCTCCTTCCTTTTTATTTTCAACCGATTTGGCGATGTCGAGAATCTTCGGAAACGAGAAATAGTGTGAATCCAAGAGAGACGCAAAGAAAGTTCCATTCACTTTCACGAATTCGTTTTCTCTTCGTTCTCTCTCAAATCTATTCTTCAGTTTACGATTTTATATTTATTCTAAATTCGGAAGAATCAAAGAAAAGCTATGCTACCGTGAAATCGGATACGGATTATTTGAATATTGATTAGAAGAACACAACATTTAGAGATTCCATGTCTCCAAAGTTACAGATAATTTCAGAAACTGAAAAATTCTAAAATTCTACAAGAAGTCAGACATTCAAAAAATACTTCTCGAAAATTCAGAAATCGAGAGTTCCAAGAAAATCAGAAACTTGAAATTCAGAATCTCAGAATTTCAGAATCTCAGAATCTCAAAATCTCAGAATCTCAGAATCTCAGAAAAAATAAAAAATCTTAGAAATTCGAAAATTCAGAATCTCAAAACTTCAGAAATTGGGAAATTCAAAAATTCAGAACTTTTGAAATTGTGAAACTCATTTTTAAAAGTTCAAAAAATAAGCAGTTTATAAATTTCAAAAAAATCTGAAAACTTGAAAAAACATTTTTAAATGTTTTTCAACTTTCAGAAACTAACAAACTCTGCAATCTTGTTTTTCAAGTATTTCAAATTTCAGAACATCTTCATTCTCCTTCTCAAAATTTCCGAACAAAATCGATATTTTATCGAATTGAGATCACTTAAAAATCTATTGGTGAGGCAACTTTGTTCAAATTTGAAAATTTGTTAAACATTATTTTTCCAGAAAAGTATAAATCATGAAATTCAGCAGAATTGTTTTGCGAAACATGAAAAAGTCCGCATCTTTTCCAGTCATCATTTCTTGGCGGTAAATTCAAGAAAAAACTTTTTTGAGAATTTTAAAACCAAATTTTCAGCTCTACTCTCCATCGAAAATTCTAGTTTTGGAATTCGAAAATTTGGAAAATTTTCAGATTTTCGAATTTCCAGAAATTGTTTCGCTAATGGTGCTAAATGGAAGTCTTTGTTTTATAAATTCGTCTGGCATCGTTTTTAATTTGGAGAAAAATGAAAAGTGAGTTTTTGATTCTAGGACACCAAAAACAGAAAAAATGAACGTTCCAGAATCCTCGAAAGCTCACCGTTGCTTCATCCGATTTTGGCAGGTTTTCAAATTGAGAATCGGATTTTTTTGATTTCTCAAAAATTTTTGGCAAGTTTTGGAGTGGATTCTCCACTGGATTATGAAACTTATGAGACAGAAAAGGTAGAAAAAAATTTTATTGAAAAACAATTCAGAAATTTCAGACGATTTCAAGTGGAGAAGCTCGAAAATTTGGAGAAAATCGGTTGATGATTTTTGATAGGAAATCCCAAGTTTGCTCGATTTGGGAAATGAATAAACCGAAGTGGGGAAGTCTGAAAATATGAAATTCAGGATCTCAGAATATGAAGTTCTGGGAAATCTTGCAACTTTGAAATGCGGATATTCGAAAACTCGGAAATTCAGAAATTCAGAACTTTAGAATCTTAAAATTCCAGATCTCCATCGCACCAGCTATGTTTCGGGTCATCTGAATACACTGTAGACGTGGCATGCGATGAAACCAATTTGTATTCGTTGACAGCTGCCGGAGTGGTATCTGTGTGGAAATTGAGGCCTAATGGGTAATTTTTGGTGACTTAAAATACAAAAATCTGAAATTCCTGCCCTCAAGAACCCATCATTAGGTTTTTAAAATCAAATTTTCAAATTTTCAAATCACAAGAAGAAAAATCAGGTTCATTTCAGAAGAAAATACCGTGATCAACTATTCACAACCTACTTGAACCATTGCAGCAAACTTCTGTATACACATCCACAGGTAGTTATTAAATCGTATTATTGGACTCGTATCATCTCAGTTCCTGTAAGAGATTTCAAAAATTAATAAATTAACACAATACACAGTTGACTTAGGTTCCAGTAGGGTATAAAATTTGATTTATTTTTTTTTCGAAAATTTTGTAAACTTGAATTGTAGATTTTGTACCCCTACTCGGTGCATCCTCCGGTTTATTTGAAGAATTTTCGCTTTTTCGAAAATTCTAAACTCCGAAAATCTATTCAGCACACACCTCATTTTTTAACCCCATCTGTCTCGTTTCCTGTAAAAGTTATCAAGAAGCAATTAACTAACAAAATGTAAAACATAAATGCACAATTATTTTATCAGTTGACGCTTTTTTGATCTTTCACAGGAACCAAGATAAACTGGCTCTCAAAGTGGCTCAAGATACTCCTAACGCCTCTGTTTCCAGAAATTCGTGATCCTCACCACCACCGAAGTTCATTTTGTTGTGTTCGGCACCGACACGGACAGCGGTCTCAATAATCACTGATTTCGCCGGTGGTGCCAGTCACTGATCAATTGTGACCCCAATCAATCACTGGAGAAGGTCCGCATCTCGGTGTCTTTTTGCAAGAATAAAAAGTTGTATTTTTCCTCTCGACTTTTTCTTCTCGATTTGATTTATCGAAATGTGTGTTGTAAAGTGGGGTGATATCGGAATTGAGCCCCTCAAAAACTTTTTTCTGTTATCAACATCAAGATGATAACAAATTTTTTTGATGGGAAAAAGTGGTCACAAGGGGATGGAAGAATGTTCCAGAAAAAAGGAAATTGAGGGAAAAGTGATTTTTGGACTTTGTCCTCCAATCTGAAAATAGATTTTAAGATTTGGAGGTTCAGAGATTTTGAGAATCTCATATTCTCACTATCTAGATTTTGAGATTTCGAGATTCCGAAATTCTGAGATTCTGAGATTCTAAGCTTCTAATTTTGAGATCTTGAAATTCTAAAATTCTGAGATTCTGAAATTTTGAGATTGTGTGATTCAAAAAATCTAAATTTCTAAGAAACTGAAATTCTAAGGTTCTAAAGTTTCGTAATTCTGAAATTCTGAAATTCTGAAATTCTGAAATTCTGAAATTCTGAAATTCTGAAATTCTGAAATTCTGAAATTCTGAAATTCTGAAATTCTGAAATTCTGAAATTCTGAAATTCTGAAATTCTGAAATTCTGAAATTCTGAAATTCTGAAATTCTGAAATTCTGAAATTCTGAAATTCTGAAATTCTGAAAATCTGAAATTCTAAAATTCTGAAGTTCTGAAATTCTGAAATTCTGAAATTCTGAGATTCTGGGATTCTCAGATTATTTGAAAATGCAGCAATAAAAAAATTCGTCAGAATTTCAAATTTTTGAAAAAAAAATGCGGAAATTCCAAAATTAAAAAAACCCGCAAAATTCATTTGACATTCTTAAAATTCCAAAATCGGAAGTTTTGAAATTCCATAAAATTTCCAAACTGAATTTTTTTTTAATCTCTTTCCTGAGATGCTGAGATTCCAAACGCTGGAAATTCTGAGATTCTACGATTTTGAGATTTTAAATTTTCAAGATTCTTTAATTCTGTGATTCTGAGTTTCTGAGTTTTTTTCGTATTGTGAAGTCCGTCAAAAAAAAGAACATCCTGGACCACCCGCCGGCAGCTGGCCCAAATTCTAGAAGCCCTTTCTAAATTTTCACAACCTATCCCTCTCATAATCCTCATCTCTGGCCTAGACTTTGTTCAGATTGGTGTCTTTGTGAAGTTTGATACTCCTCCTCTATCAATTTCTTCCTTTCATCCTTTGATCTATCCGTGTCTTCTCCAAATTCAAAATCCTGCTCAACCATCTGCCATCGCCCTCACTCTGCCCTTTTTCTTGCCATCTTAAGCTCCGCCCACTCTTCTCCTCGAAGACTCCGCCCTCTTTATCCATTTGCACCGCGCGCCGATCTTTGTCTCAGACACACTCTGTGGATTTTTCTTCTTCCTTGCAGAATCTTTCATTTTCTGGCTTATTTCAGGTATGAAGACCCTTCTGCTTCTCGCGTTCATCGTCGGACTGACGTGTGGAGAGGAGATCAAGGACCTGCCAGGATTGGATTTCGAGCCAAACTTCAAGCATTATTCGGGATTCTTCCAGGTTTCGGATAACCATGTTTTGCATTACTGGTGAGTAGAAGACTCTCGAATCATATATCCCTAAACTTGAGCATCCCAGAAGCTTCTAGACTATCCTTTCTTTTTTTTCTGAGCCCAGTTCCTAGAATCGATTCCTCGAAGCTTCCAGAATGTTCCAGTTTGGATCATATTGTTTTCGCCGCTGGTTCCTCAGACGTTCTCAAGTTTTCGGCAGATAGACTATGTTCTTCAGGTTCGTGGAATCCCAAAACGACCCATCTGCCGATCCACTGATCTTCTGGTTCAACGGTGGTCCAGGATGCTCTTCCCTTGACGGACTTCTCAACGAAATGGGACCATACGTTGCCAACGAGGACGGAAAGACCCTCAGAGAAAACGAGTACTCGTGGAACAAGATGGCTTCAGTTGTCTACATTGAATCGCCAGCTGGAGTCGGATACTCCTACGCCACCGACGGAAACATCACCACCAATGACGACTTGACATCTCTTGAGAACTACGAAGCTGTCAAACAATTCTTCACCGAATTCCCACAATTCCGTCATCATCAAACATTCATCATGGGAGAGTCCTACGGAGGAGTTTATGTTCCAACCTTGACTGCCAGAATTGTCGATGGACAAAAGGACTTCCCAATCAATTTGAAGGGAATGGCTCTTGGAAATGGATATGTGAACGAGAAGTTGAACATTGACACATCTGTCCGATTCGCTTATGGACATGGATTGATTGATGAGAAGATCTGGAACACTTTGGAGAGAGACTGCTGCTCTGGATGCATTGACTCTTGTGATCTTACCCAGGTGTCTGGACACTGTGCCACTATGGTTGAGGACATCTTCCAATTCTTGTGGTTTGGAGGCCTCAACCCATATGATTTGTACAGAGATTGCGATCCAAACCCATCGATTAACAGCAAGAGAATGAGACATATGTTGAGAGGTGTTGCTCCAGTCATGGCAAAGTTCGATGAGCAGTTGAAGAATCAAACTAAGACATCGCTCTACAAGTTCTTGAAGGTGAGTTTTTTTTTTCAGATGTATGAGACTGAGTAGCTTTTTTTCTAGAATAAGTCCGAGAAGCCACTCACCGCCGACGTTCCATGCCTCAATGACACCGAGATGCTCTCGTACATGAATGATCCAAAGGTCCGCAAGGCCATTCATATTCCATTCAACCTTGGAAAGTGGGATATCTGCAGGTGAGATTTTGGGAGAAAAGAACTATTAGGTCAAATTTTTAAAAATATAATTTGGAGCTCTTAAAATTTTCTAGAAACAAATGTTTGTTTAAAAGAATAAGCCAAATTTCGAGAGAGTGAGGAGCATTTTAGTTGTGTCTGTTTGAGCTCTAATATTGCGAATGTCCCCCCAAATCTCTAACTTTGAGCCAATTCATCTCGGTTCATATCAAAAATATCAAAAAGTGTTTGCCTAATAAAATGATACTGATAATATGATAAACATTTTGTCAATTGACCACTTTTTAATATCTCTTTTAAGAACCGAGTTAACTTGACTTGTAGTGGAAAGTACTTCTTCACAACTTCAAGCGATTTATCTAATTCGAATGAATTCGTACAAAAAAATGTCAACTACAAAATTGAAGCTCTGTTTTTTTTTGTTTACTGTACTTTAAAAGTTTCATTCTTTTTCTTTGAAAACAACTATACTTTTTAGACATCCAAAGTTTACCATTTTCAACTAGAAGTAAGTGAAATTCATAAATAGGTACTGTATACTTTAAGGCCTTGAAGCTGAACTTTAAGGCTGAAAAGAGGTAAGCTAGAAAAGTTTTCGGAAAATATACGTTTCCATAATTATTTTTTTACTTTTTTACAAACATTTTCTTCAGCGACAAGGTGACCACCACCTACCAGAAGCAGTACACCGACATGACTCCATTCATCAAGAAGATCGTCAAGAATCACGTGCGGGTTCTTCTGTACTACGGAGACACTGACATGGCATGCAACTTCATGATGGGACAACAGTTCGCCGATCAGCTCGGAATCCGTAGAACTCTCAAAAAGACTCCATGGAAGTACGACAGACAAATCGCCGGATTCAAGACACTTTTCGATGGGCTCAGCTTCATTACGATCCGTGGAGCAGGACACATGGCACCACAATGGAGAGCTCCACAAATGTACTACGCTGTTCAGCAGTTCTTGCTCAATCATCCAATCTAAGATGTTTGGAGACTTCGGGAGCTATTTATTGTTTTCTAATTCAGGAATTTATGAATTTCTTTTTGGTTAATAAAGTATCTGATTTTGGATTTTCTTTGAAAAACGATAAGAAAATTGGGAGAAAATTCAGATCACAGCGCCTCGACTACTTTTCATGCACTGCTTTTCAAGAATTTGAGCATAACTTTGAGTTCGATAAACTTTTCTTTTGTAAAATTTTGGAGGCCTTAAAGGAGGCGAGACAGCAAAAATTTTGAGGGACAGTTTGGGGGGGGGGGCTCTTTTCTAGTTTAGAGGTCCCAAAACAATTTACAGGTCCGAAAAAAAATTAGAGGTCCCAAAATAAAATAGAGGACCCAAAAAAAATTAGAGGTCCCAAAAAAGTTTAGAGGTCCAAAATTTGAAAACGCACAGATATTGGAATAATGTACTAGTATTTTAAATGTGTGAGTAGTTTCAGTTTTGGGCCTTATAGGATGATATGACTACTCCTAACAATTTAACTTCCAATTCTCTTGCATCTTGCTGATGAACCACAATTTACATATGAGGAAAATTTCGGCAATACAGTAATGACTCCGTGATTATGATGTCTCTCACAGGTCAGGCTTAGATAATTGTCAGAAAATATGCATTCCTAAGCCTATTAGAAGTATAAACTATATCATCAACAATTATTTTGCTATAAGACCTCAAAACTTTAATTTTTTACACAATTCGCATTCTAGTTTTGGACCTCTATTTTTTCTTGTGACCTCTAAACTTTTTTGGGACCTCTATTTTATTTTGGGACCACTAATTTTTTTTCGGACCTCTAATTTTTTTGGGACCTCTATTCTTTTTTGGGACCTCTAAACTAGAAAAGAGCCGTTTGGGGACGAAATCGCAGCGCGGATATGTAGGCCATCGGTTGGCAGGCGCCTTCGCGCTCCCGTAGCTCAGACGGTAGCGGCGCTGTACCCCTGAGCTGTCGGTCATGAGTTCAACTCCTCATGGGGGTTCGCTAGGCAAAATATCAGAAAAACTTTTTTTTTATGTCTGGCCCCTTTAAAGAGGAAGGGATATGAAAAATGCAGTTAAGAATCTTTCAGATCACAATTTTCTGAAATCGTTTTTTTTATCGAAATTTTTTCGTTCAGAAGCGTATCTGCTTCATTTTTGTTTGCTTCATTTTTGAAGTTTGCGGCCGAAAATGCATTTTTCTCTTTCGTAACTGATTCATTTAAGCCAGCAACCATCAAACACGCCTGTGGTAGAAGAGTCTCTTAGCTTTGAGCCAATTTATTTTGGTTTCTGCAAAAGATATCAAAAAGTGGTCAACTAACAAAATGTTACTGATAATATGCTAATAATTTTCATACTTGACGATATTTTTATATCATACGGAAAACAAGATAAATTGGGTCAAAGTTGAAGATCCCTCCTTAATGTTACCCTCTACTTACACTTTGAGCTCAATTATCTTGTTTCCTGTAGAAGATATTAAAAAGTGGTCAACCGACAGAATGTTTGTCATAATATAACAATTCTTTTTTAAGTTAACTACCTTTTGCTATCTGTTACATGTAATGAGATAAATCAACTCAGAGGCTCTAAGCCGGAAGTTCGAAGGGTCATTAAAGACACAGTAAATTCGACAGTAAATTCGGGTCAAATCTGAACAGCCTTTCAAAATCAACAATATTTTCAGTTTTCCCCCTAAGCATCACCCCATAATAATGCTCAATGATTCCTTCTCGTTCAATTGATTCCTTCTCTTGTTATCTGTTTTTATGTTCTATTCCATCGCCTCCTCTCAACACTACCAATCAAAAACGTGCCAATTTCTTGATGCATTACACTTTCAAACTCTCTTTCTCGCTTAGCCCCCATCCTCACTATTTGATAACAAAACACTGATCGAGAGAGCGTTATCAGTTTTTCTCTGCGTCTCTCACTTAGCCTGTACTATTTCGCTTATTTTCAATTCGTTTCGTACCTCTCTTATCTTTTTCTCTTTTTTCGCTCAAGTAAACACCAATACTTTTGTGTTGTTGTGGTCGCGGCGAGGCGCGATCAGTTCAGCTTTTTCGGTGCTTCGAAATTTCATCATTATTTTTCTGAAATTTTCTAGAAAGCTTTAATTTTTCCTTTAGAATTTTCTAGAAAGCTTTAATTTTTCCTTTTAGAACCTTTCGTGCCAAATTAGCTACGTGGTTGATTAGCCACCAGCTACAGTACCGGACGTTTTTTGAACTTTTGATCTTGCTATTTTTTCTTAACATTGATGTAAACGCACTCAATTGCAAACAGTATACTGTAGTTAAAAATAAGCGTCTTACATTACCCAAAACCGAAAAAAAATATTTAAAAATCCTTATACTTGGATTTTCTGAAAATTAACCGGTTTCAAAGTCCTACAAAAGTAGTTTATAATTTTTAGATTTGTCTGAAAATGACAGATAATACTAAACAAAAAGAGAGCTTTAATTTTGTAGTTAACAACTTTTTTCGAGCTACCGTAGTTTTTGAGTTATGCACCTTTAAAGTTAGCTAGAAAAAAGTTGTAAATTACAAAAATGAAGTACTTGCTTTGTTCAGTATACTCCAAAAGTTCCAAGAAAATCCAAAAATTCTGGACGTATTATAGTGCTCCAAAGTTGACTAGCATTCACTGAAAATGTTAGAACACTATAAACTTTGAGCTGGGATATCTCAGTTCCTGTGAGAAATATCAAAAAGTGATCAACTGATAAAACGCTTCTGATAATATGGTAAACATTTTGTCAGTTGACCACTTGTTGATATCTTTTACAGGAAACGAGATTGATATCTTTTACAGGAAACGAGATATATGGGCTCAAATACAAAAGTTAAGTGGGTTATTCTACTAGAGTGCTTGCTGTGTTTTGTTTCCGATAACGTATACACTCTTCTTGTCTCTTCTTTTTTTACTCCCGCTGTATTTTTAAAAAAAGTTCTAAGTTCTTCCAGAACCAAAAATGAAGTTGGTTCTATGTGTGCTCCTTCTCATCGGAGTAGCCGTTGCAATGCGGAAACAAGGTGTCGCAGTGAAGGGAGTTCTCAAATGTGGAACTGTTTTTGCAAATAATACAAAAGTCAGAATTGTGGATATCGATACGGGGCCGGATCCAGACGACACTTTGGATGAGAAGAGAACTGGCGAGGATGGCGCATTTGCATTGACTGGATCCACTCATGAATTGACTTCCATTGATCCTGTTCTCTACATTTGGCACGAGTGTAAAGATGAGCAAACTGTGAGTTTACTGAAACAAAAACTAGCTTTCTAGCTCTTCTAGAACCCGTGATATGGTGCTTTGAAGTTATGAAGAGACGCAGACAGTTAGAGTGTCTCGTTGTGTGCGCCTATGAATAGCTATTTCTCAGCTTCTAGTGGGCGTAGAAAAGTGATTTTTGTCGCGAAATAGTTCAAAATTTCTAGAATATTTACTGCTGAGGTAATGTCTAGGAACTTTGAAGTATTTTGCATAAAAAACCACTTTTCTAGCCATACTAGAAGCCGAGAAATGTCAATTTGAAGGCTGGGAGGCTAGAGACGCAGACAACGAGACACTCTAACTGCCTGCGTCTCTCACTAAAGTCATTTCGTTTTCTCTCTATCAGATGATGTACCTTTTTAGCGAATTTTAGATTTTTTTTCAGAAATCAGAATTTATGAAATTTCCAAAAATTCGAATTTAGGAATTTTCCTGAAATCGGAAAATCAAGAGAAACGAATATTTAGTGATTTTGAAAAAAATTTTAATATAAGTTTTTATAGAAAATTCAGAAAACTCAATCATTAGAGTTTATCGAAAATGCTAAATTTCCAAAAACCGGATTTCTCAAAAAATTCTTCGAAAACTCAAATTCTGGAAATTTTCTACATATTTCAAACTTCAGAATTTTCGAAAATTCTAATTTCACATTTTTTTAGAAATCGAAAAATCACAGAATCGGAAAACTTATGGTTTTTCAAAAACAAAAAATCATTGAAACGGAATTCCAAATTTCGGAATTCTTAGAAAAATTTCAGCATTTTTTTGAGGTTTCTGAAATTCCCGGTATTTTTTGGAAATTATGAAGTCCAGCCACACAAAAATATTTCTTAGAATTTTAAAACTTCCAGCCTTGCTCCCGCAAGATCAAATTCGTCATCCCGAAGAAATTCATTCACGGAGGCACTCCAACCGATGAGCAATGGGTCGATATTGGCGTTTTGAATCTGGAAGGATCCTTCGACAACGAGGGGCGTGAATGTGTTAAGGATAATTAGAACAAAATTTTTGAATGAAAATTTAAACTTTAAAAATTAAAAAACTTTTCTTTGTAAAAGAATGTTTAACAATTAATAAAATGTGCGTTTTTCATGGACAACAACAACAATACAATGAGCGAATACGGAGGAGGTACAGAAAATGTGGGCGGGGCTTTAAAAAAAGTGGGCGTGGCCCTAAAAAAAGTGAGCGGGGCTTCAAAAATTATTGAAAATCAAAATTGAATTCTTTGAATCCGAGACGATATTTTTGACGGTATTCGTCGAGTTTCATGCTGGTTGGTAGTGGACGGACTATTGGTTTTGTCTGGAATTTTAGATTTTTTGAAAATTCATGATTGTTGGACCATTTTTAGTGAATTTTGGACAATTTTAGGATCGTTTTAGTGGATTTTGGCGGCCAAAATTTGGCCAAATTTAGTAAATTTTATTCTGTCTTTATTGGGTTCTGGAAAATTCTTTGACAATTTTTTAAACGCATTTTGGACCATTTTCAGTGATTTTTGAATTATTTTCTATGATTTTGGGATGATTTTTGGATAATTTTCAGTGAATTTCAGACAATTCTTGGACAATTTTTAGCGAACTTTAGGAAATTTTCCGATCATTTTTAGTGGATTTTGAATTATTTTTATCGAAATTCAGACTTTTTAGTGGATTCTGGACTACTTTCAGAGATTTTTGAACCATTCTTGGTGATTGTTCGGATCATTTTTAACGAATTTCTGGGCCATTTTCAGCAAAATTTGGATGATTAATTCAGGAATATTTCGCAGAAACTCTGGGCAATTTCGAACAATTTTAATGTATTTTTGACCATTTCTAGTCGTTTAGGCCGATTTCTCTTACCTCACAGATCTTATTATACTTCTCTCTCATCGTTTGCACCCTCGATGGCCATGTCTTGGGTGTATAACTGAGATAACGTCCTTCGGTAATTATCATAACGACTCTGGGCGGTCCAGCGATCAGCGCTTCGAAATAGGCGAATTCTCGATTCTGATAATAAGGAACAACGAATGCCATCATAGTTCCCTCTTGGAAATATTTGGGACCGGCGGAATTGAGAATTCCAGTGAGATGAGGACCACAAAAGACACGAAGATCTCGATTCGATTGAGAGGTTAGAGTAGTTCCACCGTTTGTATTATTCTGAAGGTATTTGTGTTGCATTTCTTTTGTATTCACTTCTCGTGCAAGAATCTGAAATTAGGATAAATGATACCTTAAAACCTGTATTAGAAGGGCATTCGCTAAGTACCTCCAGAGGATTCATTCATTTTACCGATCATTTTTTCGAAAATCGGTCATTTTTAAAGTCGGTAAACTTCTAGTTCAAAATTGAATTCACTTGAAAATTGTCGAATTCGCTGAATTCAGAAATTTCCGAGTTTTCAGAGTATTTTTACAGGAAATTCTCAAAATTTCAAGTTTGTCAAATATCTCAATCTCAGAATCCCACATATTTTTCAATTTCAGAGCTGCTAAGAGTGGTGGAAATTCTGGAAATTCGGAACCTTCTCTTGGAAGCGCCCATATTACAGGGGGCCATTTACAGGGGGCCATTCTAACACAGGTTTTACGGTATGAACTTTTTTAGGTAGCTTTCAGGCCTAAATATTTTCAGCACTTACCTTCATTTTTACAACCAAATCGTCCATTCGAATGATTCTGGCCGGCCAGAAATTGCGTCCAATGCCATCTTTCTGTACTTCTTCTTGTAATGCAGTATAGGCGGTTACGTTCCATTTGATCATACTTCCGTTCGGCAAAGAGCTGAAACTTTGAAATTTAGAAATCTAAAAATTAAATATAGCTGAAACTCTGATATTCCAAAATATGATTTTCAGAGTTCGGAATTTCAGATTTAAAATTTTGAAAACTTCAAAAACCAAGAATTTGAAATTCTTGTTTTTCAGATTTTCAGTAGCAGTTTCTAGTGTTTTTAAACTAGAAAGTATAGATATTTCAGCTCAATTTCAGTAGAATTTCTTTACATTTTTCGTTTGACTTTCAATGAAGTTAGTTTAAAGATAATTTCAGAACATTTCCAGCTAATTAAAGACAAATTTTATGGGAGAAATCTGAAAGTCAAACTCAAAATCTACGATTTTCAACCAAATTCCTACTTTGAAAAGTCGGATTTAACGGTAAATTGACACATTCTGAGTGGTGCGAACAGGTTCTTCTCTGAATATTGACTCTTTCTTCGAATATTTGTTCTCTCTGCCGGCGTCAAATAGATCGGTCCAATCACGTCGGTCCATATCATTGTCGAATGCGAGAACTGTCCAGGATCCTTCTCGAAATCCACAAAATTCACAAGTCCATAAATTCGCAACTCGATGCTTTTATTCGTTCGATATTTTAGACTGACTAGACCGGTTGACGGAAGTGCTGAATAGATTTGAACGACGTCGATTGATTGGTTGTCTGCTCGATAACGATATTTGAAGAGGAGAGACGTTCCGAGTGAATCAATTTGTTGAATTGAGACGATCAGACGTTCGATGCCACGCTTGTAACTGTAGACGAGCAGCTGGAAATCAGAGAATTAGAAAATTTGGGATTTTCAGATACTCATGGCAAAAATTCGAAAATAGAATGTTTGAAGGAGGCCAGACAGATAAAAGGTTTGGGGGACAGTTTTGGGGGGGGGGGCGAAATCGCCTTCGCTGCGAAGGCTTCGCGCCCCCGTAGCTCAGCCGGTAGAGGCGCTGTACCGCTTCTCTAGGCAAAATATCAGAAAAAAAACTTTTTTGATGTCTGGTCTCCTTTAAAGAGTCTAGAATTCTGAAATTCCAAAATTTTAAAATTTCAAAGCTTTTGAGAAAAAAATTTCAAAGCTTTTTTTTTTTCCTTACCTGATAATCGCCATTTTCCATTTTCTGCCGATCGATTCTCAACGCAATACACCAATCATGACACTTGTATTCAATCAATTCCGATGCCTCAAATCGATTATCCTCACTGCTATTCTCCTGAATCACTCGTTCCGCTTCAACGTCTTCTTCATCTTCTTCCTCTAGGTCTTCTTCTTCCTCCGAACATTGCTCATCACTAGTTTTCGTGGTCATTTTCGAATGCCTAAATCTCTTCAAATCCCCTTCTACCTCGCTTTGCTTCGTCTGATAGAGCGGGTCCTCATCATAATTCTCTTTCAATTTCAATTTCGGCCAATTTTCTGGATCTGTCATTTCTTTTGCTTTCCAATCTTCTCGAATCTTCTCAATTCTCGATTTCTCATCTTCCGCGTTTTTTGAATTCACATCGATTTTTTCTAGCTCGTCTTTGACTTCGTCCAATTTCATTTCGTATGGAGAATTCATGCTCGTTGGGAGATTCGACGAATTTTCACTGTATTGAGCTTGCTGGAATTTTTTTTGTGGATTAACATTGAAAGAAAAACATTTTGAAAATTTTAAGACTTTTTCAACTAAATTTTGATAATTTTTAGCACACTTTCAGCATTTTACAGTAATTTTTATAGTAATTCGTACTGTGAATGTGCTATTATACTCCTTTTTGTGCGATTCGAGATCATTCGATACTGAAGACCAAGTATTGACCCGCGGTGGTGGGCTGAGCAAATCTGGATTTTCTGGAAACCAATGAGCGATTCGTCCAGTTGGAGACTCGGTTTTTGGCGAAGATATTTGCTGAAAAAATCACTTTTTCAGCCAAAAATTGATATTTGTTTCACCAGGATTGGCTCTAAACGGCGTCGTCCGAACAATTGATCCTGTTTGCCGTATACTCGAGGTGTTTGTGTTCTCGGATATTTGTCGTTCATTTTTTTGTTGTATCTGAAAAATAAATTGAGAAATACAATTTTTGGTAGGTCTAGAAAACTATGAAATATTTTATTTTCAATGAAAAAACAGGGAAAAAGTCTTTAAAGAGAAGAAATTTAGTTGAAAAATTCGAAAAATGAGTAAAAAATTGAAGGCGCATCGAGTTACAGAGCTTTGTCACATCGACACGGAAAGCTGGTGAAGTCCTCTCGGAGAAGATTTAATTAATTTTTTTGAAGCTGAAAAATATTTTTAAATTGAAAGAAAACCTGAAATCTGACTAAATTTGGGGAAATTTTTAATTTCCAGAGTGAAAAATTGTGAAAATAATCGAAAAATTAGTTCAAAAACCCTTAAAATGTTTCAGAAACTGCTGAAAATCTGATTTTACAAAATCAATTTTTTTTTTCAATTCTCAAATTTTTTACTTCCTCATTTTCTCTTGCTGCCTTGTGATCCATATAATTTTTTCTCATTTCCTTAACGTCATTTCCTCGCTTTTCAAATTGGAAAGAGCACATTCAGATATCTCATCAAAGAAAATATATGTCACATGCCCTTTTCCAGAATTTCCTCTCTCATTTTCATATTTACTGAAGAAAAAGAGCGTGTGTTCTTCCTCTTCTCCTTCGCCTTCTTCCATGTCAATAACATGGGGGCGAAGAGAGTCTGTGTGTCTGCGTCTGTTCCCTTTGCCACTCTCTTTTTTCACTATTTCCTCACTCACACTTTTCACTTTTTTGCTTGCTTTAAAATAAAGATTTTTAATTGTTCTTCTTATTTCTCATCTCAATTTTCAGAAAGAAATTTTCAGAGAATGCCACCTGGCGAGCCGTTAGGCTCGATATCAGATCCAGAAGATTATGATGGGGCTGCTAAAAAATCAAGTTAGTGTTATGGGTTTTCAAAAATAGGAAAAAAAACCAAAATTCAGCCAATGGTCCGAATTTCAAAAAAGACGATTGGCACATCGCACCGCTTCTGAATTTCGATGCCGATTTGGCTATCATGGAAATGGTTTATCCGGCTGTCGCCCATTGGACACAAATCGCAAAAGAGCTGAAATCCGTCGGATATCCGATTGCGGAAGGAATTGATAATTGGAGAAAATTTGACAAAAAAACGAGAATCAAAGCACAAATGTTGGATGATTTTCTGGATTTATTCATCTCGAAACGGCTGTATACTGAGGAGAAGGACTTTGAAGTGCTCCGAGTGCTCATTGCTCAGGGAAAACCGTATTTGGAGTTTAAGGAGAAAAGTTAGCGATTTTTCGAGTTGAAAAATAGGAAAATCGGATTTTTTGAACTAAAATTGATGAAAAAAAATTGAAACATTTTTATTTTTAGCCCAAAATCACCTGAAAAAGCTATTTTCAGTGCTAAGAACGTTATAAAAATCAAAATTTCAGTCAAAACACTTTTTTTTTAGTGTCAAAAGTGAATTTCTCGCTAAAATGCAACAATATTTGGGAGAATGAAGCGGTGGCATATCGATGTAATACATGTGCTTTCACACCTTGTAAGTTGATTTTTTCACTCAAAAAATGCGGAAATCCGGACATTTGGATGCACAGATAGACCGGAAAAATGTGAAAATTGAAGTTAAAAATCCCGATTTTTCAACACAAAAATTCAAATTTTAGTATTTTTATCAGTGCGCCCAGATGTCCACAAAACCAGAAAATTGCTTTTTACAGCTCAAAATATTGAGAAAATTCCTACTTTTTCAAAAAAAAAAGCCTTTTTTCCTGTCACTATATGTGTCCCGTAGTCCAGATTTCCAAATTTTTCGGCAATTTTCAAAATTGAAATTTCGTTTAAAAAAAAATTAGAACATTGGAAAATCGGAATTTTCAAAAAAAAACACACTTTTTTTTTCGGAGCTGGAAATTACAAAAAAGACCTAAAATGACATTTTTCGCTCAAACTACCATGATCCTTCCAGGTATGTCCCTCTGTGAGGTGTGTTTCGAAGCGAATGGGCATCATGGACACGACTACGTTCGTTTCTTCTCTCGAGAAGGTGGTGCATGTGATTGTGGAAATCAGGATGTAATCAGAGAAAGTGGAAATTGTCCAGATCATGGAGACGAGTCAAAAAGACCCTCTTATGATATGTCAGATGTTGTTTTGGCTGAATATATTGTCACAAAACTTCTTGTTCGAATGTTTTTGGATTTTCGGGGATGGGTGAGCACTGTTTAAATTATTTTCGTTGGCCTAGTAACCCAGTTTCTAGAAAAACTAGGCCATGCTATCCATGAATCTCATATTCTGAGAGGTTCATAAAAAGTTTCAGATTTCGAAAAATACATTTTTAAGAGAAGTTATGATCCTTTTGAATTGGTGGCCTAGAAATCCCAATTTTCTGGGCCACAGGTTCGCAATTATCGAAATCTGACAACACCATTCGATTTCTCATAGTCTCTTACCGCTTCCCTGCAATTTTCACCTAGCTCAAAGTGTCGTAAAATTCAGTGTATTGTCTGCAAACACGAAACTACAGTAACACCACATCTTACGACACTTTGAGTTAAAAATCTGAGTTGGGCATACTTGTAATCCGGGCCTTTGCCGGGCCTTCGCGGGCCCTGCCATAACTTCTTTCAGAATCAATGTTTTCGAACCAACTCAATCAGGTATGATAGAGCTCCACGAGTACTACGAAACGGTATTATTTGGAATACTGTATCTTGTCTATGAACAGAGTTACAGAGCAAAAGGAGCAAAAAAGCAGACCCGTTCCGGGCCTGCCGGGCCCTGCGAGAAAAGCCACTTTATGATCTGTAACTTTGTTCATAGATAAGATACAGTAATCCAAATAATACAGTTTTGTAGTACTCGTGGAGCTCTATCATATTTGATTTAGTTGGTTCGAAAATATAGATTTTGAAAGAAGTTAGGCAGGGCCCGCGAAGGCCCGGATTACAAGTATGGAGTTGGGGTAAAAAAGCATGAGAAATCCAACATTAATGCTTGTTTTCAAAAGTTCGAGCCTTGAAATCTGAAATTCTGAAAATTGAAAAAAAAATTCCAGACACGTCGCTACCAAGAAGCCGAAGAACGATTTCATCATGAGACGGCCGATGAGCCGGTCACCCGTCGACCACAATTCGATATTGGAGCATTCGCGGCCGCGGACGCTGCACATGCCAATAAGATTATCGAGTTTTTGCAGGTAACATCTCGGAAATTACAAAATCCATTATCACCATTGGATTTCTTAGCTCAGAGTGTCGTAAGATGTGGTGTTACTGTAGTTTGGTGTCTGCACACAATACATCATATCCTACGACACTTTGTGCTGGGAGGCTGAAAATTGCAGGATAGGGGTAAGAGGGCCTGAGAATTCGAATGGTGTTTTTGGATTTTAGAAATTTTGAACCAGTGGCCTAGAAATTAGGGTTTCTAGGCCGCCACTTGAAACATTTCATTCCTAGAAAACAAGCTTTTCGATATCTGAAACTAGTTATGAATCTTTCAAAATACGAATTATCGATTTTTGAGGTTCATGGCCTAGTTTATCGAAAATCTGAATTTCTAGGCCACCAACTTAAAATTCTCATAAATTGACAAAAATTGATACTCACAAAACTTGTCTCTAACTGCCAAGCGTTCTTTTTTCTATTCAAAATATTGATGGCCTAACTTTTCAAGTTTTGGGTTTCTAGGCCACCATTAAAAATTGACCTTAACTTTTTTAAAACCAGCGTTTCGAATTTGGAAACTTCCGTGGCCGAACTTTTTCAATTTCTAGGCCATCAATCATTTTTCAGGAATGCTCAAACTACGGTGGTCCAATGCGTCTGATTGTCTCCGAGGTGCTTCAAAACAAGGCGCTCTACAAAGCGCTGACCGAGAAGACAGGAGACCACTTCGATGGAAGTCAGTAAATGCGCTCCATAAAACGAAAATGAGCGGGAATTCGAATTTTTGAATTTCAGCCGTCGGTCGAATAGACATCTCGCTGGACTGGCGCACTTACCATTCGTTCAAAAACGACCGAGAATCGGTGCTTCCGACGAAAACTCAAACTTTTTCGTTGGTTCAAACTCTTGCGGACACTGAATGCTTTTCGCTGCTCGACGAGCTCATTTTCTGGATCAATCGACAACTTTTCCCACAGAATTTGGTCAATTTTGGGCTGAGCTTGCTCTCGGAGCCCGGATATCGGGTGAGTAAGACTGAATTTTCAAAAATCAATATCACCATTGAATTTCCCATGCTTTCTTACCCTAACCCTAAAATTTTCAGATTTTTAGCTTAAAGTGTCGTAAGATGTGGTGTTACTGTAGTTTGGTGTTTGCAGACAACGCATCACATCTTACGACATTTTGAGCTATAAAGCTGAAAATTGCAGGATAGGGGTAAGGGTTCATGAGAAATCGAATGGGGATTGCAAATTTGAGATGTTTTGAACTGGTTGCCTAGGAAATTGGATTTCTAGGCCATCAAAGGGTCATAACTTTCTTTAAAAACAACTTTTTCTGGATTTGACACTTGGTGTGATCGTCTATCCTGCAATTTTCAGCTTTATAGCTCAAAATGTCGTAAGATGTGATGTAGTGTCAGCAAACACCAAGCTACAGTAACATCACATCTTACGACACTTTGAGCTAGAAAACTGAAATTTTCAGGAAAGAGGTAATAGAGTATGCGAAATAGAATGACGTTTTTAGATTTCTGAAATTTTGAACTCGTGGCCTAGAAAATTGAATTTTGGATTTCTAGTCCAGAATACCATAACTTTGTTGAAAATTATAATTTTCGAGACCTGAAAGCTGCGTTCAAAGTTTTGGAACTCCTTTTAAAGGTGTTCTGATAAATTTTATTTGCATGACCTAGTTATACGAAATTTTGGGTTCCTAGGCCACTAACTTTCTCTTTTCCAGGACGCTTTCGCGTATCGATTCTTCCGATGGTATCCGATTTGTGGAAAAGTGATTTTCGAGTTGTGCATCAGTCAAAATGGCATCCATCGAAATGAGGATCGTGTCTCGCCGACGTGTAGTCGTGCAGTTCATGTTACTGTACAGGTAATTAAGGAGCAATGGGCCAAAAATTGATTAAAAATGATTAAAAATTACTGGGAATTCGTGACAAATGTTTGAAAATTATGTAAAATTGACTAGAAATGGTTTAGGCACTCATGGCCTAACTTTTTGGATTTCTCGGCCACCACTCGAAAATAGGTTATAACTTGACTCAAAATCAATATTTGCAATCTTCCATGACCTACCTTTTTCGATCTCTAGGCCATGACCTAGTTTCCCAAAACTTGACTTTCTAGTCCACCACCAATTAAACAATTAACAAATTACAGATGCTCTCATCTGCTCAACTTTGTAAAGAATTGAACGAAAGTGTACATTTGGTCCGAACGATATTCGAGGTGACACGATTCATGATTTGCGAGCGATTAGTGAATTCAGAAGTCTCCCTAAGTGAGTTAATTGGTCACTTATTACCCTCTAATTACCCCCTGATTTACAGAAGCCCAAAACATTTTCAAAGAGAAAGCGAGATTCTTGAATATGACTGTTCAACCGCCACGACAACCGTGGACAGTGATGACGATGGCCAAAAATGCGGTAATTAACGCTTAAACGGTCTTAATTAGTCTTAATTGCTTGGAAAATTATCCACTTCCAAAACCAATACGCATTGAGTTTCTCTCGCTTTCTTACCCCCAACCCTAACATTTCCAACTTTCTAGCTCAAAGTGTCGTAAAATGTGGTGTTACTGTAGCTTAGTGTTTGAAGACAGTACACAACATCTTACGACACTTTGAGCTAGAAGGCTGAAAATTTCAGGTTAGGGGTAAGAGTTCATGAGAAATTGAATGGTGTTTTCAGATTTTCAAAGTTTGGAACCAGTGGCCTAGAAAATTGGATTTCTAGGCCACCGGTTTGAAAGGCTCATACCCGTTTCAGAATACGAACTTCCAATTTAGGTGGTACATGGCCTAGTTTTTCCAAAATTTGGGTTCCTAGGCCACCACTCGAAAATGATCATAATTCCGCCCAACAATGTCCAGGAGCTGTGTTACAAGATTCAGAGAACTCTTTTAAGTTTATTTTGATAAACTCTAATTACCTAATTTTGTAGTTTCATTGATTAATATACCGTAAAACCTCTAATAGAACGACACCCGGATCGTCCACTTTGAGCCTATATATCT